ACAACGATGTCCTGGAAGTTCCTTCCGGACAGATACTCCTCTGCTGACCAATACTTCAGCAGTATTTTTGATCGGGAAACACGACCTAAGGAGCCAGCCTCTCCAGCAATCACACAAACTTTGTTTCGTGTTGACCTCAAACGCACATACACATGTCCAAAAAACGAAGATCATGTCTTAGTAGAAGTATCACATCTCAACACTATCATTTTATCGCACGAGAATTACAACGGTGATGAATCTTATTCTGAAACACCCCAGATCCTACATGATTGGGCTACCACAGGTAGCTATCAAGGTTCAAATCGGTATTGTAAAAGCTGCAAGACCACGACGAATCCTCATGCCCAGCCTTACAAGGAATTCCACTCACGACTTCACCTCAATCCTCCACCTCCTCATCTCCATATCCAAGTTGACATTGCCTACCTACATGGAACAAATCGCTCCGAAGCCTTCAAGATGATGAGAGAGTGTAACTTACCATACGAAATGATACTCGACGGAACTATCTACTTAATGCGAGCACGAGGTTTTTGGAATGGTGAACATTATTGGTGTCAAGTGGTACGTACAGTAGGAAACCTGACCGGGGTATGGGGCCACAATGATTTGGAAAATGCAGGAATAGCGACGTTTCTGTCAAGTGATGTGGAAGTGATTGGGGGTCAAATAGCAAATACATCATGGGTGATGTATTCGCAAGCTCCTACAGATAAAGAAGCTTCTATCTCCAATGATGCAAACACGAAGATAAGCAGGTCTCTGGGTAAAAATAACGTACTTGTCCGACCTTTTTCACAACCAATTTGTGAGGAAAAAGAACATACCAATGACGCAGAAGGTGTGTGATTTCTTTCTTTTGCAATGTACTAGATTCTTGTTTATTGAGATGTTGCCATCTATTTCTATTATATAGAAATCGAAGCTCCTCCTTTGGCAAAGCTGAAGACCAAGCTACGTGAAACAGGTGAGTCTTTATTTGGTTGGTTTGCTTTACCTATTGTTTACAATCAGTATGAATTTATTTCTTGTAGAAACCAAGAAAGAAGAAAACAAATATGAAGATGACGAAGTTCCTCTGCCGAAGAAGAAGAGAATATCAAAGAAATCAAAGAAGGAGAGTCCACAACCAGGTGAGCAATTCGATTGTTTTATTCAGATATCATTTCTGCAGTCATTGATTCTTATGTTCTTATGTATGTTCTTCATTTATTTCTTGTAGAAATCAAGAAAGAAGAAAACAAATATGAAGATGACGAAGTTCCTCTGCCAAAGAGGAAGAGGATATCAAAGAAATCAAAGAAGGAGAGTCCACAACCAGGTGAGCACTTCAATTGTTTTATTCAGATATCAATTCTGCAGTCATTGATTCTTATGTTCTTATGTATGTTCTTCTTTATTTCTTATAGTTAAAAAGGAAACAGTTAATAAGACAACCAGGAAAAGGAAGATACGTGAAGAGAAAGAAGAAGGGGTTTTAGTTAAAGGAGCCAAAAAGGCGAAAGGTTGGAAAGGATGGGCCATTGTGGAAGAGGAGGAGGATGATGATGAGGTGTTGGAGGCCGCCGAAGAAGGTGATGAGGGTCAAAGTATTGCACCACGGAAGTCAAAGCGTACAAAACGCAAGAGAACGTAATAGCGTAGGTTACTCGATAATTTTTCTTTATTTTCTCGTCACTCTTTCAAGTTTCTCTTTCAAGTCTCTTTTTAGTCTTTTTTTGTTCTATTGAGTCTCACTCCTATTGTCAAGCGTAATTGGTATTCATCTTCTAGTCACTCCTTCGAGCTACATTTGTGTGTGTTACCTTCTTGACTTTCTTTGAAGTTTCCATCCTCATTTCTTTTTCTCGCTGGTCACTTTTTCTTGCATTTTGTTCAAGCTGTTTTT